TATTCGGTACCTATTCGGCACAGCAGTTATATACATTAATATACAAGAATTATATTTAAGAAACTCTATCTTAGAACTTGTTTAAAATCAAATTATGTCTTTTCAGATATTATTCAAACAATTATAATATAAAAAGAATAATTTAGAGACGGTCTTGGTTTTATTCGAATATTAAATATCTAAATTTCAATTGACTTATTACGAAGATTCATGAACCTTTTTGTTTATATATAGTTAAGGGAAAAAGTTTAAAAGCTGTATCCAAGATTGCCCTAACAGGTCAAAGATCGTAATGATATAAAAGGTTAATATAAACAGATGTTAAATCTGAATAATCAATCAATATAACATGATTATTTTAATAATCAAATACAAATAAAATTTAAGCAATGCTGAAGGCAAATACTTAAAGTGTTAAAAAAAATATAAAATATACCTAACAGAACGTTAAATTTTATAAATTAAAGGTTAAAGTAATGCTGAAGGCAAGTACTTAACCGGTTAAATGTAAAATGTTAAGAATAGTTAATTTCTTAGCATACTAATGATTATTTAAAATCAAATTAATAAAATTTTAGTTTACTATAAAAAAAATATACTGGCCTTGTATACCAAATTATACTAAAAAAGGATGTTCTTAATAATACAAAACCATCACAACATCGAACTTCTTCTCAGAGGGGTGCAGGGCTGAAATCTAACCGAACAGGCTGCTACTGATTACTTCGGTGACTGAACACGTAAGAAAAACTTGTGGAAAAACTTGGCGAAAAACTTCTAGACACAAGTGTAGAAAAACTGTAGAAAAACGTCTAGAAAAATGTCTAGAAATACTTGCAGAAAAATCCAAAGAAAAACGTTGAGAAAAATACGTAGAAAAATCTGTAGAAAAACCTAAAAAGAAACGGTATTAGTTAACCTTACATTTTAAAAAACTCGAAAAATTTACGAAGGTATTAATTTACCTCATTGTGAAGGCACACAATCAATAATTATTTAACATTTCTTCTCAAATAAAGGGCTGGACACTTCTCATAAAAAAAAACTGGAATCTAAAAAAAGGCATGTGAGAAGTTTTCTACCGAATGAATGTCAAAGAAAATCTTACCAAAACTATAGATCCATTAAAATCTCAACAATCAAAATCTATATGGAACCTTCATCCATCTATAGGACAACAAAATCACAATATTTTTCTCATATTGTGAAAAATATTAGCCAAATAAATTTAATTCTCAAAATGGCACAGTGACCTCGGTAACGGCCAAATCCGAGGTGACGATTTTGACGTTTCCCGTCTTGTCGATACACCAGGGTACGATCCAATATTTTCGATAGAGAGCGTTCCGAAATTTATGTGTTGTAGAAATGTAAAAAGAATATCGATATAATAATAAAATACCGTCTATAATAAAACAAAGTAGCATTTGGAAAATGAAAATGCTACAGTACAAATGTAAGAAGTTGACAACGCTGTTTCCGATACGCTTCAGACCGTCCGGTCCGCCAAAAAAAATGTCTGGAAGGAAAGGATATGGAAGGAACGGGAAACGGAACGGATAGTGTGCATTGTCCTATTCTCTTATATGATGTAATATTTTATGTAAACGGAAGGGAAACTAAAAGGAGCTGATACGGAAGGTATAGTGAGAATCAATCTTTAAACGGACATTATAAGGAAACTGCAGTTCGTACAACGCTCAAAGGAACGAAATATGCTGGGAATAAGGAAGAAAGGCCGTAAAAGAATGTAGTGGATACGACAAAAGTCCCAGGTAATAGATGTAATCCACACAATCAAATTCCTTAACTGGCAATGAGCAGGATATCTGGCAAGAAGGACGGACAACAGATGAGGTACAAAAATTTCAGCATGGTAACCACGAGGAACTAAGAGACCTAGAAGAAGACCAAACCTAAGATGGGACCAGAAAATTAGCTACGGATAACATGAGCCCCAATAGCCAACAATAGACAAGAATGGGTCCAACTACAAAGAGAGTATCTAAATATGTGAGGGAGGCTACAACATAATTGGAAATGGTTGAATAAGCTGAGAATGATGATGATGGTGATAATGATAAGTTATAAGTTTCAAACAACAGAATCCCATACAAGAAAATAAATACATATATCGAAACAAAAAAAATCGTAATTTCTACTGTAGTCTAATAATGTTATAACAAATTTAGTAATTAACCTTTGACTTCTACCCATCCCTGGTGGAAGATTTAGTAGTTTTATTCGAGTGGAATGGGCGGCAAAATTTACCTCCATTTATTATTAAAGCGAATATCTGGGTATCGTTTCTGAATAGTTTCGGAGTTGGATTTAGTTTCGGCTGCTGATTTGAATAGTATCTGTCTCTCTTTCTCTCACACAATCAGTCCAGTAGTTTTAGAGCCCACTGAGCGTAAAAGTTTGATTTCCGCCACTAGAGTGGTAGGAACAAAGAACTTGAAGGAATGGACCGTTGTCTCTGTTAATTACTATCTTTATATTTGAATTCTTATGCTTTCATGCCATCTAATTGCCTGTAATTTGAGACTTGTTTAATTTATTTTAAATTATTAAGATCTATACAATGTTTTATATCAAAAATATGTTCAGCAACTCAAGATTTATCCGGTCTACCATATCTTATCTCAGCTAAATATTTTTTAAATCTAGTTAATATTGATCTTCTAGTTTGCCCAACATATTTCTGATTACAATCTTTACAAGAAATTTCATAAATACCCGACCTTTCCAGTGGAGGTGTTTTATCTGTTGGATTACCTAATAATTGTTGTAATTTATTATTAGCACCATACACAAGTTTATAATTGACATTCTTAAAAATTCCTTTTAGACCACGGGATAACTGTCTATCAAACGGTATTGAAAAATATTTTGACGTATCTTTCTCCACTTGAAAAGTCGAATTTTCAGAAACCATTAACCTATACCTACATTTTCTAATTATTTTATCAACTAGTGAAGGAGAATATCCATTACACTCAGCTACGTTCCTAATGTAATCTCTTTCTATTTCATATCTTTCGTTGGTAAGTGGAAAACTAAATAATCTATGAACTAAGAAATTTAAACTAGCCATTTTATGTTCAACACTATGATATGATTAATTAGGAATCTATCTGCGTGTAGTGGTATTTTTTCTATAGATATCAAATTCCAGGCAATTATTCGTATTTCTAATAACTAATACATCTAGAAATGTAATACATCTATCGTTGTTCTCAATTTTATGTGTAAATTTAATTTAAGGAAAACGATTATTTAACTTATAAATAAAATTATCTATGGTGTCTGAATGTGTGTCAAAAACAGCAAAAATATCATCCACACACCTAAACCATACTCTTGGAAAATACTCAAACTGATTCTTAGCCTCCACTTCAAACCTGCTCATGAATAAATTAGCCAAAAATGGAGACAATGGATTACCCATTACTGTATCTTTCCGTTGTTCAAAAAAGTTTTTATTAAATTGAAAACAATTTTGTTTCATACATAACGATGTAAGCTCAATATATTCAATCACAGTTTTGTTGTCGAGACCATTTGCGTTCAGTAATTCCTTCAAGTAGCCTAAAGTATGTGGAATTGGAACACTTGGGAACAACGAAGATACATGAAAGGAGACCAAAAAACTCACACTGTATAATTAAAAGGATTACAACTAAACGAATTACTAACTGGTAAAAAAAAGTCATAAATAATGAAATTAAAAATAAAAAGTCATGACACATATATAATTTGACAAAAACTTTAGGTTGGTGGAATTTTTTGCGGCGGATGTTATTCTACTTTCATGAATAAATGCGTCTCATATTTCTATAAATTATGCTGGCATCTAGCCGATACGAACTCCGCAAAATTAATGGGGCCAAGCCAGCCAAACCAAAGCCCTAGGAAGTTCACGACTATGAAGTGGCGACGACCTCAAAACTGGATCACAAATTTCGAACTGGGATTCTGTGACCTCTTTTAAAGGTGATTTACACGCAACGATTTATCGTACGATTTGAATGCGCCGACAAAACGTTGCAGATAAAACGTAGAGACTAAGTTGTGTTCAAATTATAATGATTTATCTTTCAATCTTTTCTATTCTGTCATGTTATCGTGGAGGAAACCTGTTGTGATTAGTTTTTGCTAATTGTTTAAATAAGAGTTACCGATTTTTACATATTTTCCTTTAATCAAAATATTTTAGGAAATACAAATGGATTAATTATAAACACAGGGTGGTCCGAACCGTATTCTGGAAACTTCGGCAGCGTATTCTGCAGATAAAAATAAGTAATAAAGTTTGCATAAATGTTCTAAAATGCTTAGTTTCGGAGATACAGGGTGTAGAAGTTTCATTTTTATTTCGATTTTTATCCAAATAATTTCTGAAGTAACGTCATTATTTGAATGAAAATTGGTATCTGGGAGTTTGTTGACACGAAAAATTTGATTTTGATGTCAATATTACTCCTATTTGTAGGGGGCGCCACCTACAAACTGTTTTGAAGAGTAATAAAGTAAAAACTTATGTAGAAATGTAATTGATACTGCAAATAAACCTATTATTATTATATTATTACAGTAAAACTTCCCATTTCGGCCACTTCTAAAAAGCGGTCACTTCTGTTAGCGGTCAATTTTCAGTTGTTTGAATTAATCTTAGGGGAATTCCTATATTAAAATATTTCTCAATAACGTTAATTCCGAAAGCGGTCACCGGCCGTTTCAAAGGTACATTTTAGGGAAAAACCCATTAAATTTATTGCCCCAATACCGGCCAAAAACCGAACCCTTCGAACCTTTTTTTTTGTCTAACAAAAGCTGTTTCAGGACACTTTAGGAAATTCCAAGCAATAAACATTTATAATTTGTTTGAGAAGTAGGTACAGAGAGTGACAAATACAATACAAAATCGTCAGTAGTTTGCTGAAATTTTTGGGAGATATAGAATCAGTTTAGTTTCTTACTCTGAAAGAACAGCAACCATGTCTTTGAAACGTAAACGTTTGTCTATTAAAGAGAAATTAAATATTGTCGCGGAAAGTGAAAAATATAACAACAGTGCTCGAAAGTTGGTGGAAAAGTTTGGTGTTGGAAGAACGCAAGTGAACGACATTTTAAAAAACAAAGTGGAATTAAAAAAAATGTTTGAAGAAGAAGGATGCAATGCAGATAAAAAACGAAAGTTTCCTAAAACAGAAGGATTTGCAATCGATCAACTAGTTTACGAATGGTTTTGTAAGGCAAGGAACAAAAACATACCCATATCGGGAACCTTAATTCGGGAAAAAGCTCTTGAGGTATCTACATCCTTGAAACTTAGTGAATTTAAGGCTTCAACTGGCTGGTTAAATAAGTTTTGCAAGAGACATAATATTAACTTCAAAACAATTTGTGGTGAGTCTGCAGATGTGGATGAAGTGACTGTTGAAGAGCAAAAACCCGAGATGTTTTAAAGGAGCGCATGTAGATAAATTGCCGATAGAATGGGTATCCAACAAACAAGCTTGGATGACGACAGATATAATGACATCTTGGCTCAAAACCTTTGACACCAAAATGAAACGGCAGGGTAGAAAAGTTCTTTTATTTTTGGATAATGCCACGTCTCACCCAAAAATAGAACTTGAAAATGTTCGTATAATTTTTTTCTTCCAAATACGACATCTCATTGCCAGCCGTTGGACCAAGGAATTATTCAAAATTTTAAATTAAAATATCGTCAATTTTTTATTAAAAGACTTTTGACTTTTACTAATGCCGAAGAAACGATGGAAAAGGCTAATGAGAGCATAAATTTGGCAAGTACTATGGTGTGGATAAGTACAGCATGGAAAAATGTTACATCGAACACTATAAAAAAATTTTTCAAAAAGCGGGATTTGCAACCGTCAAAGGGACGATGCATTTGACGAAGAGGACGACATTCCTTTAAGTCAGTTATCTTCAATTTTAAAAACATGCCAGGAAGTCCAGATCTTAAAGAATATCTGACAGTCGATTCAGATGTCCCTACGAAAATCCTAGTTTAGAGATGCAGGAATAATCCAGGAATTTACAAACAACAAGGACAGACAGGACTCCACTCAAGCCGAAGAGGAAGAAGATGAAGGCCAAGACATTCTGTGTTCATCTATAAATAATATGAGTGAAGTATGTGAAAAATTAAGAGACATTCAGAATTTTTTGGTGATTCAAAACAAAGACGAACTAGCGGTTGATATTGCCCATACTTTGATGAAATTTGAAAGTGAAATTACAAAAATCAAAATTAAAAATTTAAAGCAGACCATTTACCATTAATCAGTTTTTCACCATATAAAATAAGGTTATCATTTTGTAACTTTTTAAAGTCAATTGTACATATGTATATAAGAATACCTATGTGTAAAATACATATGTATACATTGTAAGTTTTTTTTTCAAAAATTCTTATGTAATAAAGTTTTTTTTGTAACAACTGAATTATTTTTTGTGCCAAAATCTAAAACTGAAGATCATTTATTAACACTTATTGTGTGTTTGTACTACATGCTCGTACTTAATTTTAATTACTTTGCACGTTTCCAAAATAAAGGCATTTTACATTGGTATCTGTATTTTATTGTTCCCGATAGTGGCCACTTCCCTTAACGGCCACATTCCTTTGAAAATTTTTGTGGCCGCTATATGGAAGTTTTACTGTAGTATTAATTAAAATGACAGACGCAACTGTCACTGTCAGGTACCATACCGTTGGACAATTTCGCGCGCCAATTTCTTTTTCTAAGATTGAGACCTTCAAATTATTGAACTACGAGCCGCCACTGAACTTGAACAACTCTTTCTCTATCTAAACCAATATAATTAATTTAACCTAACTCTATTCCTTAATAATAAATAAGGCCTAACCTCGTAAAGCGTTAATTTTGAATTCCGCCCGCTCCCTTATTAAGTAATAACACGAAAATTATCAACAGGTTAAAACGAATGGATGCCAAGGGTCTAGTTATTACCGCACGGATCCCTTAGGGACCCATCTAAAGGAAACAAGAGTGTTTAGGGTAAGGGCCAAATTCGATAAGGGTTTCTCCATCGAATACCAGAAACCAGGGTTGGGTTGGTAAGGAATTAATGATTATTTATTAAATTATTAAATTACTATGCCGATATGGTTTATGTTTCTGCTTCAGCCCTTAGTTATCAAAATACGGGACACTCTATACCGTGTGTTTTTTTAAAACTGGCTTACCAGTATAACTTAATTTTTTCAAATAAAAAAAAATGTATGTGCACTATGTGCGCATATTTGTGAAACTTCTAACTAGCAGCTATTAAATTGAAGGATTTGAAGGATATGATTGAAAAAGTGTAGTTTGAAATGTTGAAAAGTAATCAGTTAAAAATATATATTTTTTTACGCGTAATAAATACTTTTTTACATGTAACAAATACACACTGGAAAAATCTAGGGATATCATTTTATTAAAGTTAAAAATAAATGTTTTGAATAAACAACCACATATTTGTAGGCCGATTCTTTCTACTTCGATTGAAACGAAGTAGTCACACGAAGTATTTCTAAATTTGGGATATTTGCAGATTTTTTGTCAAATGTATAAAAACCACCTAGCATCAATTGTTCGAATTTAACCTGTGCTGGCTATGTTTTTATGATAACTGGCCAGAATTCAGTCAAATAACTATGTTTAGTATTAAACGACATTATGGAGCGTAGACATCTTAACAGAGACGAAATGCAAAGGGCCATGGGTATGCTCGAAACTGGAATGCGCCAAATCGACGTAGCTAGAGCATTAAATGCAGCGCAAAGTGTAATATCGCGATTAAGTGCACGCTACCGTGAAAGTGGTGATGTTGCTGAAAGGCACACAGGGCGACATCGCATTACTACCCCTCAGCAAGATCATTTTTTACAATTAAATGCTCGACGCCGACCGACTCTTACAGCACCAGAGCTTAGTCCTGACACTGTTCGCAATAGATTAAGGGAGTCAACTTAAGAAGCAGACGCCCCTGGAGAGCTCAACCCTTAACGAGAGGAAATCGAGAGGTACGATATTTGTGGGCTCAAGGTCATGTTCAGTGGTCGAATGAACAATGGGCCAATGTTCTCTTCACGGATGGGTCACGCTTTGGAATTCATCTGGATTCGAGAAGGCTTAGGGTATGGAGAGAACCGGGAAATCTTATTCGGTTGGATCATGTTCAGGAAGTGCATCCTTATCAAGGTGGAACAGTTATGGTCTGGGGAGGCCAGTTAGGCCAAAAACCCGATCTCGTTTTTCTTGAAAGGTTTCTAACAGGAATCACATATCGTGATTTAATTTTTGAGTCTGTCGTGTTACCATATGCCAATGATTTTGGGAGAAACTTCATTCTCATTCATGACAATGCACGGCCTCATACAGCCAGAGTGGTAAGTGAGTTTATCAATGCTCATCAATTAAACATCTTACTCTGGCCGGCACAATCTCCTGACCTTAACCCCATCGAGCACGTATGGGACGCGGTCCAAAGAAGAATTTTCAGAATGGGGGAATGAATCAGGGATCTGGTTCGGGCCGTGAATGCAGCGTGGCAGGCTGTACCTCAAGAAGAGATCGACAACCTGATCAGGAGCATGGAGAGACGATGTAGGGCTGTAATGAACAGTAGAGGAGGCTATACCCTTTATTAAGTAAAATTAGTTTTATCTTTTTTTTTTAATTCACAGTTTTGAATTAAAAAAAATGTGTGTATTTTTTTGAGTTCAATAAAAATCAAGGAAAATTTGAAAAATTCGGTAAATTTCGCATTTTTATTTCTAATACGTCCTGTAAACTATTTGTTTATTTTAATTTTATTATATCAGAAATGCAAATAATAAAATTACTGACGATGGCTGGATAAAATTGTAATATCCTTAGACTTTTCCGGTGTGTGTAGTTTTTACATGTAACAAATAGTTTTTTACGCGTAAAAAATAGTTTTTTACGTGTAACAAATCTGATTCACTTTTACAACATTTCTATTAAAATATCGATATTTTTGATAAACACGTGGACTGCTCACAAATACGCGTCGCGTCACTACGTATTTCTAAGCTGTTGGCTGTCCTTACCATTTTTCGTCTCGCGCTTGTGTGTCAAGGCTGAATTTTTACTCCCAACGCACGTAAAGAAGTTTCACTGCCAAATTAAAACTCACCCTGTCGAGGAGTTGTTTTTTTACCTTATCTTTAGAGCACCCTGTGCAATAATTTCGTGTGTAAATTTTCATAAAATATAATTTTACTGTCAGAACCATGTTCCCTGTGCATTTTGTTTCTTGGATCGTGTCAATACATGCCTTGGTTAATTTTTAAGAGCGAAATGAACTTGCCACTAACAATTTGCAATTTTTTCAATTATCATTTCTTTTTGAAGTTATTTTTCAATATGACAAGGCGGCTTCGGTGATTATTGTGAACTATACTTATACTACTATAAACTGCCCATCATGTTCGGCGTTAGGGAATGCTTGGCAGGAGGGTTAGAGGTCGCAAAGCGGTACCAGCTTCATTAAATAAATTTCGGTTGGTTCTTAAAGAAATGGGAAAGTATAACACAATATGATATATGCAGCCTCAATGACAGTATGAACGGACGTATACAGGCATTATATCAGTCAAGGCAAGCAATGGAGAGTATTAGAGTATTTTTTACAATTTTTTTTCCTGTTTGTATACTTAAGTATTACAGATGCTTTCTTTAATATCGTTAGTTCTGTTATCGTTATTAATGTTTATTAAAACCAAGACTGTATTGTTAGTCTTAAACGTTTTTTTTTTAATTTAGTATAAAGTATCCAATGCAGCGTAATATGATATTATGACAATAGTCAACTGTCGTCAATTCTTCTGTAGTCTACTAATAATATTATAATCAATTTAGTAACTAATCTTTGACTTTTACCACAGAATATCTAGCTACGCAACAGAAAAATACTCGAAATGAAAGAGCTAAAATTGCACAAATAGAATACTAGATGGCGCGACAATATCATAATCAGAATATAATTAGAAATTTTGAACTTTCGGTTCTGGATCGACGGCTCGTCGACTGCCTTGTAGCTCGGCTAAATATGCACAGTTGCCGGATTCAACAAGACTTGAATTGGCATCCCATTCTTTTTACTGTGTATAGTGCAGTATGTGTTTCTTTCTATTCTTTTTTTCTTGCCAGATACACTTATATTAATTATTCCTTTGGCTATTAAAATAGTTTTAAGTATAATATTACAAAACATATACATTTTTAATATACACTACCTTATAATGTTAACTAAGAAAATACCTTTAATTACCTTTAAAATTAATATTATTCAGGGCGATTGATAGTGATATTTATTAATGCTGGAACGTTAGTAATGGAATATAAGTTTAATAATAATGGAAATAATTTATTAAAATGCAGTACAAAAAATGTTAACTGAC